AGGGCTGGGCAGAGCTCACCTGGCGATCACGTGGGGGGCACAGTTGGCGCTGCGGCCCATGCACTCCAGGGCAGCGCAGTAGGAGCTGAGGTTGGGTTTCAGGCTCGCCTCTTTCAGCAGCGCAAACATCCGCCCGATCTGGTTCACAGAGCCCTGCAGCACACGGGAGTCCAAAGAAGGCATGTTCTCAATAGGACACTTTTACAGAGCAAGGAGAATCTCCCCTATAGATTCTAACATGATTTATGGAAATAAGTGTCATTGCCTGATCTACTGCATAAAAACGTAAGAAAGGTTACAAAAGATAGCAGCACATCTAGAGCATGGAGTAATTAGTAGCTAATCAATCCTGGGATCTCATCCAGCTGTTTCATCCTGGTCGTTCCAGACTCTCATGGCCCTAGTTGTGATGATGCAGAATCTCAGACAGCGTCTTTGTTCCAATATTCAACTCAACTTCAAATTTATTTTTATATAGCGCCTTTCACAACAAGGTTGCCCCAAGGCACTTAACAAAGCTGTGTGACAATCCATGACAATACAATACTATTTCTACTTCACGTCTTTGTTTCATATGCTCACAAACATGTGATGTGCCATGAGAAATCCAACTCTTGCCAGCTGGTGAAATTTTGAAGCCCTGCTGCACGTTAACCACAGCGTTACCTAGTCACATGATGCTTGCCCCAGCTCTTAAAAGGGGGAAAATGGAAGCAAAAGTGTCGCAAATCACCTTTTTAGCCCAGACGCGCATCACGATGTTGTAGGTGTTGACGGAGAGCAGCTTGCGCCGGCTAAGATGGCGGTGGTGGTTGAGAAGGCAGCGCTGGGCCCGCTCCACGTCCCCGATGAAGACGCAGGCCTCCAGGTAGGCGTGCAGGATGAGCTGGGCGTCCCCGCAGCGATTCCCCTCCCGGTCCTCTAGGAGAGCCTCTGTCCTGGCCGGCTCCCACTGGCTCGTCCGGTTCTCCAGCTCCTCCGCCCGGGCCAGCTCTCTCTCCTTCGAATACTGCTCCGGGACGGCGACCGCGGCCTTCACTCGGCCGGCCGCAGGGACCGGTTGTGTCCCAGCGGTCTTCTTCTGTTTCGTGTCCCAGGTGGCCTTGGGGTGGGTGGGGCCAGAGGTGGGGTGGGTGGGGCCGGAGGCGGGGCTTTTCTGTTTATTGGCCCTCTCTTTGCTCTCCTTGGCTGCCGTCGCTACAGGACCCGCCTTCGATGCCATACGAAAGATCTTGATGTTTTTGCTGGCTTTCACGATGGACAGCTTCTCTTTACCCTGCTGCTGGAGGTGCAGCTGTTTCTTGGACTTACTCCATCGCTCCTTCTTCAGCTTCTCAGCCCAGCGGCTGGGGTGAGCTTTCTGGGTCGGCTGTCCGGAGTCCCCCGTCCTGACGGCCTCCCTCACAACCCCAACCTCATCCCGCGTCACGCCCTTCAGCCCCCCAGCTCCTGGGGTTCCTTGCTTGGCCTGGGGGGGCTTCACGCAAGGCACCTCCGAGCGTTTGACTGCCAGGACGATGTCGGCCTGCAGCTGCTGGATCCGGGCGTCCAGGACTGGGCAGAGGGGTGAGAAAACGACTGCAGTGAGCGCCTGACTCCTGCCAAACCCTGGTGTGTTAATTATTCATTTTCGTGACTGGATGATGTGACCGCAGCCAGAGTGCACCAGTCCGCTCCCCACACACCAGCTATCACTAAAATCACACCACTAACAGAGTGATGAAGCCAGTTCAGAGATGGAGTTTATTAGGAGGCCATGATTGGTAAAGACCTGGGGGAAATTTGGCTAGGAGGCTGGGGTAACACCTGGGCTGGGGTTTTTTAGAAACGCCCTGGGATTTTTTTATTTCCTCAGATAGTCAGGACCTCTGTTTTATGTCTCATCTGAAGGACAGAGCCTTTTTATAGTATAGTGTCCCCATCACTATACTGGGGCATTGGGACCCACACAGACTGCAGGGTGAGCGCCCCCTACTGGTCCCACTAACACCTCTTCCAGCAGCAGCCTCAGCTTTCCCAGGAGTCTCCCCTCCAGGTACTGGCCAGGCTCACACCTGCTGGGCTCCAGTGGGGCTGCCAGCTGGGAGTTGCAGGGTGATATGGCTGCTGGCCTAATGTTGATACTCTTGCACAAAATTGATATTTACACCAAAGGCTTGGAATTGCCATAGGAGAAACTAGATATTTCCACTGTGTTTGGGGGTGCTCATCCGAGTACAGGAGGGCTCTGTACCATGTTTTTAGAAACACTTGGATCACCGTACAGGGGTGCAGTACTCTTACCATCCAGCAACTGGGCTTGTTCCCACAGTTTCTTCTTGGTGCCCTCTTTCTTGGGGATCACAGCTGAGAAATTCCTCCGAAATACGGCCCAGGGGGTCTCTGGCCAGAGAGAGATGCAAAGTGAAATCGCACTTTCAATCCCAAAGGATCCTAAAATCACCATATAGGTAGGAGTGGACCCACTTAATTCCCCAACTGAAGTGCAGCCCCACCTGGGCGACACACAGTAGCCATTCTGCACCAGCAGCCTCTCCATAAAGAAGATCACAGGGAGAAGAGAAGAGTGCATCAGCTGAGGGGGAACTTCAGAGACCAGATTGTTCAGGGCAATAGTGGAATTCAGACAGGACACCATCGTTAACACACCTACTCTAATAAAACAGTCCCTTGGGATCATTAATGACCTAGTAATCAGTAGTTTGTTTTACACATCCAAAGGAAAGCACCTTGGAATTTCCAGTTCAGAGGGAAAAGTTATATAAACGTGAAAAAAAAACAGTCAAACCTCACTCACACCCCAGTACGTTCACACAGTACTCAAGAATGAACACTTTGAGCACAAGGAAGAGAGATTCGTAAATGAAACTCTCTACAGCCCATTAGCTGTGTAGCTCTGAAACAATCCAGATATTTAGTAACAAAGCTCATCATCTTCCGATGTTTGAATGTAAGGTTGTTTATCGTCATTTTCAATGCACGTCTACAATAAGGTATTAAACATATCCGCCCTATTTTCATAAATGACTATAATGAGTAACGGACACTTTTTCAGTCTGTACGACGCTTATACGAATGTATTATAAAACACGCCGTGTCGCATGCTGGTACAGTAATCAAAAGAGTCCAAATACCGCCATTCCGACACTTCATGCTTCGTGATGACTGATTTGTTTTGCACGGGATCGCAAGACCAATTGTGTAGTATGTTCTAGAGTTACTGTATTTAATGGTCATAGGTAAGAACGAACAGTGCAGCACTATAATAACACCCAATGCTCTGGTGAAGTGCACTATAGCTAACTTTCAAGAACCTTACCTTCAGCCTTCCTGGCACCGTCATTCCGCAGCCTGAGACACGAATGACACTGGTCAGCATACAGCAGCTGTCTCAGATTCGGCTTCTCCAATACCAGGCGACCACTGAGAGGTTTAGAAAAAGCACACAGTCTCAGCAAAGACATATTGACATGAGAAACCCGAAACACTCCCGCATGCCCACTCTAGGCTGCCATTTTGAGCCAGACTAGACCGTGTGAGCACAGAGCAGCCAATCACAAGCCAAAGCAGAAGACTGCGGAGCAGTCGAACAATCAGTATCGCGTTACGTATTGCAACTATTTTTATAGAGTACCACACCTTTTAGTGAATGGAACTTAGAAAGAGTACTGTAACAGACATATACCAGAAATCTTACATGTTTTTTTCGCCTTTCGGATATGCCTGTGTTGTAAGGCCCCCGATACTAAAAAATGAATATGCATTTTAAAATAATTTAGTACAGAAGAGTTTCCCACAGCACGTTCGCTATAGGGCATATTCGAGCACCTGATGCTAATTTTTAAACGGCGGCATCTTAACAAATTAAAAATCGCGCAAATATTAAATTTGATCACGTGTATGAATTCGTGCTACTATAAATACAAGTGAAATAATATTTTTAAACATGTAACTCCATATTGATGCGTCCAGTCGCTGACTAAACACTGGATCTACGGTACGGTTACAGAGGGATGAGGAGAGCAGGTTGGCAGGGGGAAATAACTTACTGGCACTGTGCAAAACTACATCAAACAACACCAACACAGAAAACGCTGATTTTATTGACATAGGATCGAGTAACTCTGTGTTGCTTTGCACCGTTCCCGCTAGATGTCAGCATCGCCACGTTACACGTTTACAGTGGTTATTAACGCTCCAAAACTACGCTAAATAGAACTGTGGGCTTGCCGCTGAAGAAACGATTCGTTAGCACGAAAACGAATGAGCACCAGTGAGCAAAAATTAAAAGAGACTAGGATAATAAGACCCCAGGAAATTCTGTGTCGTCTAAGTCCCGAGACGTAAACTGGATTATCAAGGTGCCGATTCAAGGTTCTAGATTAGAACCTCAGAAAAAAATATAATAAAACTCAGGAGAAAGAAACGCAATTCGTGTCTTTGTAACAACAGTGTAAGGTGCTAAAGAACTGTTGCGCTCAAAAATATGATCCACCCCACCGTGCCTCCTCGTCAACTCCTTGTTGACTTAGTGTCCGGTGTTCCGTTGTGAATACGGGATGCGTTTAATATTCTTCGATGTCCGTTTACCGATTGTGTCTGTGGAATGAAAATAATAAATGCTCAGACAGTAAATTCTCCTGTATATACAGTAGCATTACCTCGATCTGGTTCCAGGGTACCGTGCAAAGGCAAGTAGGATGAGGAAACCACTTTCGCCGCCTGTCGAAACGCAGAGGACAAACTTCACACTTTCTAGATTCCGAGTTGAACAGGATGATTTATATGTGTTTTGTTGGCTGGAAAACAAACTGCCACATGTCGTTACCCGTTGCTTTGGAAAGACTTTGCAAAACATTATCGTTGAGCGTTTAAATCTGAATGTTGGATTTAGGGAGTCTGATATTATGTTAGACTTGCTACATGTAATATGGACAATAATATCTAGATACATTCAATATGTTAGTAAGATTGAGTAGATATTATATTCATAAGTGCACATATTGGTGTATGGACATTTTCATTTCACAGGTTTGTGCCGGTGCTTGTGGGTTTTTGAAAAACTGCTCCCCAAGCCCAAAACGGCCATAAAGGCTCAGCTCTAAAGAGAACCTAAAGGGACACATGTTAATTATGAGTATGTTGTCAGCGTAAGACCATGAGCGCCACACCAAATACCTGCTCATCATTTATTCATGTAAACCAGCTTTACAGGTAAGCCCTGAATCCAAAGCGCACTAACATAGCTGTCACGACCAGCTCAGAGGAAGGCAGGAGGGCACAGAGTGCTCAGTTGTCCGCGGAGGCTGGCCTGGTCTTCCCTGGTCGCAATTCCAGAAACAGCCAGCAAGCGGCAGTCTCTGCCTTTAGTCCTACAGCTCCTACAAGACCGGTAAAATCAGTGAGAGCTCACCAAGGAAAAATCTTCAGAAGAAGCAGTCTTAGAAGAAGCTCAGAGATTGTACAGAGCTGGGTATACAGGTGTTTGTTGTTTCATTTTTAAAAATGCTGCTCCGTTTTCTTTGCCCACTTATCACAGGGCCTTGCAAAGGAGTGAAACTGAACAAGATCCCAATGCAGGACGTAGCAGGACCTAGTGATCGTCTGGTTCTGTTATTGTTTCGTACACTTAGATTTGAATTCGCAAAGACGATACTAGAATGAAAATTCGCAACAGTTAATTTCAACAGTACTCCCCCCTGCATTAACTACATCACTTTTGCACCATGGTTGCAAAACTGTGCTTTTAAAACTTTCACTGTGCTGGTCATCATTCTGCCCATCCTCTACCTTCTTCTATGGCATGACCAGTCATGTTCTGCAAAAGAATACAACCATTTTTTTTTCTTCATGTGAAATGATCAATTCCAGACAGGGTTTGCAGATGCATTGAAAATGACAGAAATTTAAGGCCAATTTTAAAAGCAAAGGAAACTACAAAATAATAATCCACTCTTTCTTTAGCTAAGATGACAGCTAAATAACTCCTCCACACACCAGTTCTGATAGTTAGCTTTATTGGAGTGAGAATTCACCCTTTGAACTTCATACACTTTTTTTTGGGACAGTGAGCGGTGTTGAGGTTGGTTTCAGGAGCTGGCACACCAGGGGGGGGGGTCTGCTTGCAGGAAGATGAAGGGGGTTTTCCGAGGGGCGAGAGGTGAAAGGAGGAAAGGTAAGTGTGGCCATGCTGGTTCATCTCCGCCCCTATCATCCAGAGCCACCATACAGACATGCACAATCGCTCTGTCCGCAAGCCAGCCGCCCCCTGCCCTCCAGCTGTTCCCACAATTCCTGTGGGAACGTCATCCAATAGGGTTGAAATCCAAAACCCCCCCTTTTTTTTAAATCCCGCCGTCAGCCCCACAGCAAAGACCTTCTCTGCTGGTGCAAACCTGGGGCAGCGGATTCGCGAGCGAACTATCAATTAAAACAGAGGGCGAGCAAATGATTGAACACATGAAGGAGAAGCCCAGGCGTGGGTGACAGGCTGGACCCCGTGTGCCTCAGACAGGGACTGGAGAGAGGCAAGCATGTTTCTTCACCACCGCTGCTCAATTCGTATTATGATATCGGGCGGAGCAGTGGCACTGTGGCTCAGGATCTGTGCCTGTGGCTGGGAGGTTGCCAGTTCAAATCCTTAGGCTGGCAGAGGAATCCTACTCCGTTGGGCCCCTGCTTAACCCCAGCTGCTCCAGGGGTGCTGTATAAATGGCTGACCCTGCGCTCTGACGCCCAGCTTCTCTCCCTGTCTGTGTGTCTCATGGAGAGCAAGCTGGGGTCTGCGAGAAGACAAATTCCTATATGAAATTGCATATGGCCAATAAAGTGATCTTATATTAAAGGGATGACGACAGGGGGTGCAAATGGTAGTGAGAAAGTATTGAAAAAACCTTCAGAATATGTCAGCACACAGGAAATAAGCTCTCGATCGCTGTCCTTAAACTCACAGCTAGATGATAGCCTCGTTTAGACATCTAATTGACTGTCTGACCTACAGATGCAAGCAAAATGCCTTCTCCTGCTGGTCGAACAAGCAACCAGGAAGTTCAGGGCTGCCAGCACAGCAGGCACACCAACCACTTTAGAGCACGGCAGCCACCAGCACACTGCAGCCTGTGAGAGCGCAGGCCTGCCTGGTCAATGTTAGCTTTCCAGTGGTGGGGAGCACGATTAGGCCTAACAGGCACACGGATCTGTTCTCCATTGACTGATAGACAAGGAACTTGGTACCTTAAATCTGTGGTTCTTTTAAGATTGAGCAAATTCTCTGCAAGCATTAATATTTATTAGAGGTTGGTTTTGTTGTATTTCAGAGAGTCTAGCATGGTGCAGCAGAGGTTGTGAGGGGGTGGGGTGGCGTCGAGCCAGTTTCGGGGTGCTACTTAAGCCAGGGTTGGTTCCATTTTCTTCAGCAGGTATGGTTAAAGTGTAAAGGTTCAAGGACCTGAATCGAGCTAGAAACTAGTGTTGTTACAAGAATGAGATTTTTTTTTTTTCACTGAAGCACAGTTTGAGATTTTTGTGTTCCTGAGTTGAATTCGGAAAAATCTCAGAGTGAACTGCAACGGAGAGCTATCTTATTTGTCATCTGGGCTCACTATATGTGTAATGTGAATAACCTTCCCTCAACACCACCAGGACTCTGTCCTGCCCCCTGAACAAGGAAGAGCCAGTTTCTCTGGGTGCATCTTAGGCACAGGACGGGAGACCAAAGTCCAAAGATCAGAGTGGATCTACAGTATGTACTGTAGCACACTGACAGAGTCCAGGTCACATGGGGGAGTAGGGGGGCAGGGATCAAAGTTTTGCATTCTCTTCAGCAGTCCTCCCCCAAACACGTTTTGTGCGTGAAGCTGCAGTTAGAGCTCTGGACTCATAACTGGAAGGCTGTAGGCTCAAACCCTACGTGGTGACACGGTGGCTGATTCACTCAGACTGCTCCAGTAAAATTTCCTGCTGTGTAAATGGGTACAAACCTGAGTCACACTAGACAAAAGCTCCTGTCAGGTTTGTAATAAGAAGAGCTGATGCACAGGACTCATAAAGACAATTCAACAGACGCAAAATGAAAGTTTTGAAGGTCATGCATGTGTAAGTAAAAAAGCCTATAGGAATCCTTACCAATAGTTAAATATTAATTGAGTATTATTCTCTAATATATTAACAGTATAGGAAAAGAGCAATGTCCGTTGCTTTGTGTGTTTCTTATTTGTTATGTATATGTGTATATTTATTTTTCACTTGAATTGAGCTCCAGCAGACAAGCCAGCAACTCCAGAGAGTGGAGTTGATTTCTCCAGAGCAAAACACAGGAGAAAGTCATCTGGCAAGCTCCTGAAGGATAGCTTCAGGAGAGCCAGCCCTTAGTCCTGGGCTTCGCGGTTAATATACAGTAACTGGCAAGGCTGAGCACTGATAAGACACCAGTGATGCAATCCCACCAGCAGTCTATCGTGTGTCATATATACTCTGGCTCATTATTGTCTCTTAATCAAAATCTGTTGGCCGTTTCTATTGT